CTAAACACTCCCCAGTTCTTTGGGCACTGATATCTGTGGTCCATATTCCAGACCTGCCTTGGCCTACTCTGAACAAGGCAGCTTCAACAGATCCTTAAGCAATGCAGTACGCTGGTGGAATCTGAAGGGAACAGAAACCTGTAGCAATGGGATACACCATTCCACTCTTGATACCGGCAGCCCAGATGGGAGCCTCAAGTTTTAGGCAACACAGTTCCACCAGTGGCTGCTTCTGAGCTGGAGATCTGCCCATGCTTAGTGGCAGTCTCCAAGCTGCTGCCTCATCAGGCTGGATGCTAATCTGTATGTGGGTTTATTTTAACCCTAACTTTTATTCAGCTGTGTCATTTCACTGGGGGTTCTCAGGATATGTTGAGGTGGGGGGGCAGGATACTCTGCTTCAGTGCCCTTCTGTGACCTCCCCCCCCCAGCTCAGGCCCCAACTGGGGATCCTGCTCACTCCAGCACTAAGGTGGAGAGCCACCTGGTGGATGCTGCCTGACCTGCAGCTGAGGAGGAGAGGAAGTTAACCCTAGGGGGAGGTGGAAGGGACGAAGTGTGTCCAGTAAGAGCTGAGGGGAGTGAAGACGGCTAGCCAGCTTCAGCAAATCCTAAATACTTCCTTCCCCGGAGACAGCTTTAGACAAGTAATGAGAGGCTTAGGGGCAAGAGGAAAAATACAGTCCCCTCAGCCATAGGGGGTATCTGGTTCTGGCTCTGCCACTATGACTCTGGGCAGGGCCCATCCTCTCTACCTCATTTGTCAAAAAGTGTGTGGGGGTCTACACAGATGGTTTGGAACATCCCTGTTTTCCCTATTCTCTCTCCTCCTTGGCCAAACTTTCTGAGGGTGTTGTTTACACTACCTGCTTAGGTTTCCTTAACCTTCCCTTCACTCTTGAACTTAGTCCAATCTAGCTTCTGTCCCCAGGTCCTTCTCATTTCATTGAAACAGCCTTCACCAAGGTCACCAGGGGCTGGAGTTGCCAAAATTACTTTTCAGTCCTTATCTCCCCGAAATTCACTCCTATAAACTATGGACTCCCTGAGCATCTGTAAAATTATCTTCTTGTGGTTCTCCCTCCGTCCTTCCCTCATTACTCATTTAGACTCCCCTTCCTCCTTGTCCCTCCTTTCTACCCTCACTCTCCATGTAGAATCTCCTCTACTTCTCTAACTTGTACACCTTCTATGCTAATAATTCTCATCCGTCTCCTGAGCTTCAGGCCTCTGTATCCAACTGCCTGCCTGGCTTCTCCACCTTTTTGTGTTATAGGAACCTCAGACACACACCACGGCTAAGCCTGAACTCACCTTTCCAACCCTGGTTTGTCTTTTTCTAATTCCTTATCAGTCCCCTAGACAAGAAACTGGGCACCACCCTATATTATTCTTTTACGCTTACATCCAGTCACTTCCAGTCATGCTGATTTTCTCTCCCTCTCATCTCTTGCTTGGGTGACTCAAAGAGCCACACTGGTCTTCCAGTCACACCCACTCCCTTTAATCCATCTCCACGCCAAAGCTTCAGAATGATCTTTCTGCAGTGTGAAAGATGTGGATCATCTCCTTTGTTTAAACCCTCCAGTGGCTTCCCATCATCTACAGAATGAAGTCCAAAATACTCTGCCTGGCATTCAAGGCTCCTTGGCTTCTTCCTCCTTGCCCCCACCTTGAGCAGTGCATGCCTACACGCCGTTTCACACCTCTATGCCTCTGCTTGTGTGGTGCCACTCTTGCCCTTTCCACCCTTTGCTTGGTTAAGGTCTCCTTATCCACTGAGCTCCAGCTCAGGTTTCGACCTCCCTGAGTGCCCAGACTGAGCTAGGAGTCCTTCTGCATGATGCCATCGCTGTCATTGCCAGCTTGTTTTCATCCTGCCTGTATGAGCTCCTCCAAGGCACAAACATCTGCTTCATCCCTGCCTTGTTACTCGTCCAGAGCTTGGCACAGACCATCTGCCATTCTGTTTACCACTATACATCCGGTATCTGGCACATATACAGTTGCTCAGCAGTAATGCAAGAGAGAGGACGTCAGAGGGTGTTGTACTGAAGTGAATGCTATAGGTCCTACCAGTGGATAATTCTAGACTTTGTGCTATAATCATCTTCGTTCAGGCCTGACAATTCTAGTTCTTAGTTTCCATAAAGTGAGAGTGATTTTGCCTCTTCCCCGTCCCCAAACCCAATGATATGACAGACATGAGGAGACCATGTGACCCAAACCAAGAATTTGGGATGGGAAGTCTTTGACCCTTAGTCCAAGTTTACTTGGACTCCTGAGGCCTGTGGGACGGGGTCCTGTACTGACAGCAGGTAGAGCCATGCTAGACTCAAGCATGAGGCTATGGTCCTGGCAGGCCCTCCAGCTATAGCTTAGGCTGTAAATCCTCCCAGCTCTGTCCCTTCCCAGCCCTAAAACAGAAAAGCAAAGATGATAGCCCACGTCTCACTCTATCCCCACAGACCTGACGAGTGAGGAGCCACGGACAGGGCTACGACCAATAAGGCACTCAAAGTCAGGGAAGTCACTGACCCAGTCCCTGTGGCTGAACAACAATGTCCTCAATGACCTGAGAGACTTCAGCCATGTGGTTTCACTGCTTCTGGAGCATCCAGAGAACCTGGCCTGGATCGACCTGTCCTTCAACGACCTGACTTCCATTGACCCTGTGAGTCCCCAGCCCTGAGTGTCCAGTCAGGGTGGGCCTGCTACCACCTCGTCCAGCCCCCAGCCTCTCTATCTCCCACACATTCTCCAGGAAGTAGTGCGGCAGCACAGTGATGTGCAAAGTACATGGCTATAGGCTCAGACAGATGTAGGTTCAAATCCTAGATTTGTCTCTTACTTTGGGACTTCGGCAAGATACCCAACCTTTCAAAATCTCAGCCCTCCTGTCTGAAAAATGGGGAGCATGTGCCCCCACAAAACAAAGATTTTATGAGGATTAAATGAGAATTATGAAAGCCAACTGGCACGTAGCAGGCTGCAGGAACATAAAGCTTTTGTTACCGGGCACCCACTGTGCCTTGTGCTGAGTTCTTCTGTGGAAGAGGTAGGTAAAGTACAGCACTTATTTTCCATGAACTCAGACTCAAGTTTTAAGAAATAAAACACAACTGACCCTTTCTTGTCCAGGATCGCTATCAGAGGGGAAAAGCAGCTACAGCCATGAGTTGGAAACTATTCCCCAGGTTGTAGTGATCTCAATTTAACTACTATTTTGAAAACTTCTCTTCTGTACCTAGCGTGATGCTCTCTATCCCTATCCCTTGTTATGAAAGATTCTTAGATCACCAAAGCTAAAAAGATCTTCACTGTAGAGGCAACTGAGGCTCAAGGGGAAGCAGGAGAACCCAGTCACCTGGCAAGTCAGTGGCTGTGCTAGGCCCCAGGCCCATACCTCCCGCCCCTCAGATCACAGCTCTATGGCCATGTGATACCCCTGTACTCCTTCAGAGTTAAATGAAAAGTAGGTCGGAGTTATCCAGAATGGCTGCAGGGGGGTGGCGTAGACTGGAAAGCAAGTTGTTTCCCAAACTTTTCCTTCTTGGCCCCCAAGTCAGTCCTGAGCACAGATCCAGGGCCCTGTCCATCCTGGCTTTTGGTTTCCTTCCCCAACAGGTCCTGACAACTTTCTTCAACCTCAGTGTACTCTATCTCCACGGCAACAGCATCCAGCGCCTGGGAGAGGTGAACAAGTTGGCTGTCCTCCCACGGCTCCGGAGCCTCACACTCCACGGGAACCCCATAGAGGAACAGAAGGGGTATAGGTAAGTGCCCTGGCCCTGAAGCTGGGCTCCCCTGAGGAAAAGGAGGTGGGGAGAGAAGAAATCCAATACCATTGTTCTGCCATGGTGGGACAGAGAAGAGAGTGGAGATCTTTCCTGTCTTACTATCCATCGGGAAACTCTGTCTCCCCCAAATTATACTTCAGTCCCTCCATTCTTGCAGTTAGGGGAGAGAGCACCAACTGGTGGAGGGGGAAGGAGGTTCTGGTGGGGGGCTGGCCCCCAGCCCAAGTCTTCCCCACAGGCAATATGTGCTGTGCACCCTACCCCGTATCACCACATTCGACTTCAGTGGGGTCACCAAGGCAGACCGTGCCACAGCTGAAGTGTGGAAACACATGAACATCAAGCCCAAGAAGGTCCGGATCAAGCAGAATGCACTCTGAGGTTCCCAGGGCCCCAGCAGTCCTAAAGGCCGAGGATGGTCAGTTTGGTTTGACAATAAACGATTTGAGCAGTTGAGCAGATGTGAAGTCATCTGTGCCCTGTAAAAATGTCCTCCAACTCAGGCAATTGTCAGTAGCTCCAGTCTTAACTTCTCTGATAAGAGGGAGGCAGTGGAGGGAAAGGCCTGTTGGCCTGGGACGCAGGGGACCTGGTTTACTGTATGGCCTTGAGAAACTTACCTAATCTCTCTGGGCCCCTTTCTTTTACTCTTCAATTCAGATATCCTGGGGTCAGAGCTGCTTCACAGAGCGCCAAGTTTCTGTGGAAATGCCTCAGAGATTTTATAGGCTGTGATCTCTGAACCCCCCACTTCAATCAGATCAGAGTAGTTCCACTGTTTCACATGCTGGTGTTCTGCTTGAGATTTCATTTGATAAAAAGAATCTTCTGCTTCAAAACAGTGGCTTGCTGGCTCCGTATCAAGTATCCTTGGTCTGCCTTTACCCGCCCCCCCCAACCCTGGGCTTGTTGGTAATTCCACTGAACCTGAGGCAGGGCCCCCAACAGTGAGGGCTGCCTCGGATTCAAGTTTGTTCAGCTTTGACAGTATTCCCATCACCGGAGAAGGGACAGTCTTATCCAATCTGAGGTTAGCCCAGGCCAAGTTCCAGCTAAGACCTGGGAACCCTGAACCCTTATCTTCTAGATTCCTCTCAGTGCCCCTGGAAGACGTGCCCCTCCCCCTCCCCCATCTCGCTGCTCACAGACCAGAAGTAGTACTAGGGTGGTGGGCAGGACAGAGGGGATGCAACCAGCACACAGATGAATACACTTCCTTTATCGAGGGCGACAAACCAAAACAAAACCCCAAAACCCCAAACATGTAAAAACCCAGGGTGCTAGAAATACAAACTCAATTCATTCAAATTCAAGCTCGTCCAGACCCTGGTCACAAACCCTCGTGAGGTGCATGTGAGCACCAAGTCAGGGAGAGGGGGACAGGAGTGAGGCCAAGAGAAAGGGTGGGAAGGGGCCCCCGATAGGCCCCCCAGGGATCACCCTCACAGTGGTACCTCCACCTTCCCAGTGACGGTGAAGACCTACTAGGCCCTAACCTTTTGATCCCCACCTCATTCCTGGCCAGGGCTATGAACGCCAGTCCCAAATGGTTCTGCCCTCCCTTGCTCCGTCCTCACTTGCTGAGGCTTCCAGCCTCACTCTTCTCCTCCTCCACACTCTTCTCTGTGATTAGTAGCAGGTTAGGGTACTGTGTGAGCCGCAGTGAGGCTGGGGGCCAGGGGAGGCAGGGTGGAGACGGGGTGAAGAGAAGAGCTGTCCAAGGATCCCTCTCTTCATGGGATCCCAAACTGTACAACCAGCTCCTCTTTTGCGTCCACTCGGATCTGAGAAAGTGCACTGTAGGCATAAGCAGCTATCCTGGAGACCTGAGACAGAGGGGCCAGGGACGAGAGGAACAGAGAGAGGCAGTGAGAAGGGAGATCCGGAAAGCCGGGGAGGGGGATTGGGTGGCAAGAGAGGAGGGGATGGTGAGGGACGGGGAGCCAAAGAGAAAGGCAGGGATGGGAAAGACAGCAAAGAACAAAGGGGAGGAAGAAAATAAAGGTGGAAAGAAGAAGATACAAAGTACGAGAGGTGAGGGTGAGTGGGGCACTCGAGCTACCAAGCTCCCTAACTCCACTTCCCTACCGCCTCTGAGACGGAGAGGGTGAACCCTCTGCCACAGCCTGGGCCGTGAGGGAAGGGTAGGCAGGGGCGGCTCACCTGCTGCAGGTCGGAGAAGGGGATGGGCTCGCTGGCCAGCACTTGGTGGGGCTGGCTGGTGAGCGATGGCAGCGGCGGCAGCTTCTTCCAGTGGGTCAGGCTGCTGCTCAGCACAGCCAAACGGGTGCTGGCCAAGAGGATGGAGGGGGGTGGGCAGTCAGGCCGGTCTGCCCTGCCCTGCCCAGCCCTGCCCAGCCCAGGCATGCCTCGCTCCCTCAGGCCAGAGAAGCAGGGTGACAGGCACCTCCGCTCACCACAAACTCGCTCCAGGCCCACCTCCCTCGGCCTCCGCACCCTTGAGGGCCACGGGGCAAACAGGGCTGACGTGAACATCTGCTGCGGTACCAGAGAGATTTGTTATCAGTCTCCTGGGCTGCACCCAAACAAGAAGCGTGGACTGGGGCTCAGGCTCCAAAGCTGGATAAGGGATGGAGGGGCAGGGAGGAGCCCAAGGAGCCCGTCTGGGTGTGTGTGTGTGTGTGTGTGTCCAAGGAGCCCGTCGGGGGTGTGTGTGTGTGTGTGTGAGAGAGTGTGAGTGTGTGTGTGTCCAAGGAGCCCGTCTGGGTGTGTGTGTGTGTGTGTCGGGTGTGTGTGTGTGTGTGTGAGCCCAAGGA